GCCACCCACCGGACTGTGTAGTCATCCAAGTCACAGCCTGTTAACTTGTTCACCAGTATGGGGTGGGGTACCGTATCGAAGGCCTTCCTGAAGTCTAAGTATACGACATCCACCCCTCCTCCTGTGTCCAGGCGTTTCGTAACCTGGTCATAAAAAGAGACTAGATTAGTCAGGCACGATCTGCCTGCTATGAACCCGTGCTGGTTTCCCCTCAGCATAATTTGTCCTGCCGGGCTCTCGCAAATGTGAGCCTTGATAATTTTTTCAAAGATTTTGCTGAGGATGGAGGTGAGACTGACTGGCCTATAGTTGCCCGGGTCCTCCTTCCTCCTCTTCTTAAAAATGGGTACCACATTGGCCCTTTTCCAGTCCTCCGGGACTTGGCCCGTGCGCCACGAGCGTTCAAATATTCCCGCCAGTGGCTCTGCAATGATGTCGGTCAGTGCCTTCAGCACCCTTGGATGGAGCTCATCCGGGCCTGCCGACTTAAAGGCATCCAGTTCTTCCATGTGTTCTATCATTGAGTGTTCCCTTGCCTGCCTCCTGGAGGGCCCTGCTATGGGCAAGGGCTGCACACTACCTGGAAGGCCAAAGAGGGTCAAGGCATATGCTAATATAGTGCCTTTGTCTGCCATATCCAGCCGAGATTGCCTGGGTTTAGGGTTAATAAGAGTTAGTGTCTTTGTTAACCTATATTTGTATATAATGTACGTGTATGTATATGTAATGTGTGTATATGTATAAGTATGTATATACATATTTTAGCAAATTTAATAGATTTCATAGACATTAGGACTGGAAGGGACCTCACAAGATCCTTGGGTCCAGCCCCGTGCCCAAAGGGCAGGCAGTCAGCAGGGGTCAAATGATCCCAGCAAGATAGGCATTCAAGTGTTTCTTAAAGGAATCAAGAGTAGGTGCCTGCACCACCACTGGGGATTCATACAGTAAAGAAGTTTTTCCTTATGTCCAGCCTAAAATGGTCTTCCAAGAGTTTGTGACCGTTGGACCTTGTCTTCCCATGGGGTGCTCTGGTGAACAGTTGTTCTCCCAGTTCCTGGTGCACCTATTCTATACTTATAAATTGCCTGTCAAGAATGAGTGGGGGGAGGTGAAGATGAAGCCCTGTGTTCACCCCACCTTCTCCCTCCCTTTTGCCTCCGCCACCTGAGGTTCGGACCCACTCCTCCCCTCCCCCACTGTGTCAGGCCTTCTGTTGAAGAGTGGGTACCACCAGTGTACCATGCGGGCTACATAGGAATCCATAGTTTTAAAACATTTCAACCTGTTGTGGTCTTTTGGAGTTCTTTGCAATAAAAAAAAATGCTCAATTATTTTTCTGTAGGCAAAAAGCAAGTGAAAACTAAGAAGGGGCATTTTTTAGGAGTGCCTTAAGTCTACCAAGGGATGCTTTGAGGCTGAAAAGGTTGAGAATCGCTGCTCCAGCAGGGCATATTAACCTTCCACAAGGAGTATTCTGCAAAGTTTATAGGACTTAATTTCAATAAAAGTTAACAACACTAGTATCGATAACTGTAAATGAACTATACAATCAGAACTAAAATAAGCATCACATTCAGGGCAAGTCCAGAACCTTATGGGATCTTAGTCTTCTGTTGGGCTTTAATTTTTCAAGCAAAATGTGATCTGATAGCTTCATCTGGTACGTGAAGATCAGAACACCAGAGGCTTGTTCCTGTCCCTGTTACTGGCACAGTATAAGGTAATGGATGAGCAATTTCAACTCTGTGCCTTACTTTCACCTGTCTGTTCAATATGGATAATGATCTTCAGGCTTCACAAGGATTCCTTAGATTGCCAGCCTGGTCAGACAGGGCACGTGTTTGTACCCATGTATGTAAAGAACCTGGCCCAGTGGAACACCCGGTTCTGTCTGGGGCCTTTAAGTAGTACCACAATCTAAACATCAGTTAATGAAGAGAGATATATAAAAGCCCTCTGTGATCTCTGGATGGAAGAGGCTATCTAAGGCATTTCTAGCTATCCAGTTAGTGACATATGTGAGTGACAGGATTTGAGGCTATAGAGCCATGGGGGTTTCACTTAGGCTGTCAGAACTGTCTTCATGAAACTATTCAGGTGCACTGTTTTGGGTTCTTTTTTCAGTGTCATTGGTTCCCTCCTAACAATGTCTGTGTAGACCAGTCTTTTTTTTTTTTCCATTTGTCTGTGCATCCAGATATGGCAGAAGGCTATTGGTGCAGTCCTCTGTGCATGGCGTATAGGTCCATTGGCCCCACTTGTTCACTGCCAAATTGGGTATAAAAGGCTATAAGGTACAAGACTTTAGAGATTTCCTCCACTTAGGGAATAGAGTTTTTAGTTTTCCCAGAATGGACCAATACAAACAAAGATATACTGGACGCGGATGCATGAACATGGCTGACAGGTTGTGTTGAGGAAAAGAAAAGCTGCTATT